GCAGTAAAGTGAGGTTGGAGTCTAAAAGATCACTTCAAACCTAATCTCCTTCCCACAGTTGGGGGGCTGCACCGCTTTCCCCCCACATCATCCTTGAGGCAGCGCCCTGAGCCACAGGTGGCAGGGACTGTTGGCCTGCACCTGGGGGTGACCCCATCCGTGATCCGTGGGCGATACAACTTGACAGCACAAGACGTGGGCTCTGGCACAACCAACAACAGCCAAGCCTGTGCCCAGGTGAGCCAAGCAGGAGCCCCAGGGTCCTTGAAGCCTCCCCACGGAGCCTGACCGGCCAAGGGCCCGCTCTTATCCCCTATCCAAGGGGGAAGGTTGGGGAGATCCTCAGTAAAGTGGGGGTTGGGGTCTAAAAGATCTCCTCAAATCTGATCTTACCGCAGTGGGGGGCTAGTGTGATCTAGGATGCTATCTCTCGGTGCCATGTCCCTTGGGGCTATGTCCTCTGACGCATATATCTGCTTTGGCTCCCTCCGTAGTTCCTGGAGCAGTATTTCCATGACTCAGACCTGGCTGAATTCATGCATCTCTTTGGTGGGAACTTTGCACACCAGGCATCAGTAGCCCAGGTGGTTGGACAACAGGGCCGGGGCCGGGCTGGGATCGAGGCCAGTCTCGATGTGGAGTACCTGATGAGTGCTGGCGCCAACATCTCCACCTGGGTCTACAGTAACCCCGGTACTATCAAGGGGATTGGTTGGTGGGAAGAGGGATAGGAATGAGTGTTGATCTTTGCTCCCCCAAGAGAATCCCGTGAACTAGAGGGAGATCCTGACAACCTCCCTACCCCCACCCCCCCAAAAAATGACTGCCTTGTGCTCCCCTTCCCACAAAATAATGCAGGCCGGCATGAGTCACAGGAACCCTTCCTGCAGTGGCTCCTGCTGCTCAGTAATGAGTCAGCCCTGCCACCTGTGCACACCGCGAGCTACGGAGACGACGAGGACTCCCTCAGCAGCGCCTACATCCAGAGGGTCAACACTGAGTTCATGAAGGCTGCTGCTCGGGGTCTTACCCTGCTCTTTGCCTCAGGTGACCTCCTACTGAACACTTAAACACCCCCCAACCCACCCACCCACCCAACTGAGAGCTGTGACCCCACAGTGACCCCTGATCCTGATCTCTGACTCATCCTCTGAATTTAACAGGGGCCACTGACCTGACCTCTAAACTCTGACCTCTTGCACTAAGGACTACTAACTCTTTTTTTTTTTTAATATATTTTATTGATTTTTTACAGAGAGGAAGGGAGAGAGATAGTCAGAAACATTGATGAGAGAGAAACATCGATTAGCGGCCTCCTGCACATCCCCCACTGGGGATGTGCCCGCAACCCAGGTACATGCCCTTGACCGGAATCGAACCCGGGACCTTTCAG